ATATATATATATATATATATATATATATATATATATATATATATATATATATATATATATATATATATATATATATATATATATATATATATATATATATATATATATATATATATATATATATATATATTACGGAACTCTGGAAGGGACGTAGTGGAGGAGAAAAAAATTGGCTGGGTGAAAAAAAAAAATGGGTGAAAGAAAAAAATGGGTGGGAGGAAAATATATATTTCTAAGTTTTTGCGTTCCCTCGCAAAGATGTTTTGCGTTCCCTCGCAAAGATGTTTTGCGTTATTTCGCAAAGATGTTTTGCGTTCTCTCGCAAAACTGTTTCTCCACAAACACTTCCTGTTCACTGCACTCACGTAAACCCTCCCATTTTTCCCGAAGTTCTCCCGTATTTTACCATTCTACCCCACTTTCTTTACATTACTGTGCGTATGCTACCTCTGAACCAGTGAATTCATGTATAAGCGCTGACTGACAGACGCGCTTCGTACAATAAACTGATCCCAGATCAGCGTCTGTACACGCCATTTACAGAGGAGCGGGTGTATGTTTAAACAGACAAATACACTGAATAATATGAAACATCTCCGTCCTGCATGTTTTATTTTAAACAGCTTATTTTCTCTTAAATGAGCACAAACAGTTTCTGAAGTAATGGACTGCTTTCATTATAGATCTGTGCATTCTTACAGAGACACCTCTGTTATCAAACTAAACAAAACATGAGATTCATTTGCTGCTCACTTGTTTGATAACAGAAGTGTCCCTTTAAATGGCGTGTACAGACGCTGATCTGGGATCAGTTTATTGTACGAAGCGCGTCTGTCAGTCAGCGCTTAAACATGCATTCACTGGTTCAGAGGTTGCAAAGTGAAAGGCGACAATCAGCGCACAGTAATGTAAAGAAAGTGGGGTAGAATGGTAAATATGGGAGAGTTTCAGCAAAAACGGGAGGGTTTACGTGAGTGAAATCAACAGGAAGTGTTTGTGGAGAAACAGTTTTGCGAGAGAACGCAAAACATCTTTGCGAGATAACGCAAAACATCTTTGCGAGGGAACGCAAAACATCTTTGCGAGATAACGCAAAACATCTTTGCGAGGGAACGCAAAACTTTGCGAGAGAACGCAAAAACTTAGAAATATATATTTTCCTCCCACCCATTTTTTTCTTTCACCCATTATTTTTTTTTTCACCCAGCCAATTTTTTTCTCCTCCACTACGTCCCTTCCGGGGTTCCGTAGGTATCAACTTACAACAGAAGTCGAAAGTTAAAAATGAAACACCCGAAATTGCATGAAACTTTGGAGAGCCTGGTGATACAACTAATTGTTTTATACTGGAACCTGCCTTCAAAAATTGCTTTTGTGGTCTTATCCACATTTATTGCATGTTGAACACACGTCCACCACAACAGGAAGTAAAAAAAAAAAAAACCTGAACTGCGTTAATTGCGTATTTTTTTTTTACGCGTTAATTATTTAAAATTTATCGCATGCGTTAACGCGTTAATTTTGACAGCGCTAATATATATATATATATATCAGGGTTCAACGCTAACGATTTTTTCTCCTGATCCGACCGAGCCAGTGGTTCAGATTTTTACTTGCCCTGCTAAAATTTTTACTGGCCCCACCAAAAAAAGAAGAGAAGTTAATAGTTTTTTTTTTTAGCCACATATATTAAATAATGTGTCCAAAATAATGTCTGTGAATCTAGAATTTCAGTATTTAAAAAAAGTTAATAAATGTTTAATGAGCAAAATGTGTTATGCAAACAAAAAGAGCAGTATGGAAAATGTGGATGTATTTTATTGCAGTTCGAAATTATTAAACATAAGGTGGCTGACTTGCCAAACTGACGGCAAATTGTGCAAAACATCACTTCATTTATGTGTTTTGTTGTTCCCACGTAAATGTTTGCTTCCAAGACATCAGGAACATGACATTTTCTTAGCTTATAGTGTGATGTTGTCGCCTTGTCGCCGTTTTTTCGTTGTACTGATTGTCACTAGGTTATGGGAAAAAATAGCATGCTCAAAACATCAAATCACATAAGAGGAACCGAAAAGCAAGATGGTATCTACGACATCACAGAGAAAATAGCATTTAAAGACTTAAAAGCTCAAACTTAAAATGCACGCAATTGACAAAGTCGCAGGCAAATTAAACTTTAATTCTGTCTACTGTCCCAAGTGTCTCTCACGCTGGCCCTGGGCCACCGGGCAGTCCTTATTGTTGAGCTCTGTATATAAAATTATATTTTTTTTATTTCTTTGATAGTTTTATGAATTTAATCAGTCATTTAAAGCATGTGATGCACTTTTTCAGCTTCTTAAAATCTCCTTTACAACAGGTTCCCAGTACATCAGGTTTCTCTCGTTGAACAGAAACCTCAAACACACATCCATCCTCACTGTGTGCTTTAGAAAAATCTAGTGACACTCCTGCAAGAGAACATGCAGTAAAACATCCCACGTTCACACATCATTCAAATGAATTACAAGACTCCATATAACTCACACACACACACAAAAACACACACTTCTTAACAATAGCTCCCCTTCATCCCCTCACAAGCATAAAGCCCTCTTTGATAAAACAATGATGGGCAGCCAGCACCAAAATTTGTCTGGAAAAACGGCCAAGGTACATTACATTAAGCGCCGTCTTTGTGGCAGCGCCAGTGTTCAGAGGAGTTATCGCCGTACCTGCTTCAGTACAGCGTTTAGTGCGACGCCACGGGCCAAAAGACGCCTTTAATGCCTGGCAGAAATGAGCTGGCATCATTTACACCTGACTGGTGCCGATACCAGTCATCACACACACACACAAACACACACACACACACTGGAGTCTATTGTCTTCAGTATGTAGAAAGGTAGTTGATAAATAATAGAAATATGTTGTCTTTTTTAAGGATCATATAGGTGTACAGTTGCTGTCAAAATGATTCACACTCCTGTGTTTTTTTTTTCTTCCTTTTTTAAATATTTCTCAAATGATGTTTACAGTTTTTCTCGTTTGCTTTGACCTGATTAAAGAAACTAGGTTCCACTTCATTTTCATTTTCACTATCCCAGCAGAGCAGAAGACAGGTCTTGCAAATTTGTAAACCTTTTCTCATTAGGTTGACACATTTTCCTTACCATTTTTCAAAACTTTGTTTTAGCTATGGTAACCAAACAGAAACCATCTATTCCTAACCATTAGACACTACCAAGATCAGTTTGGATTCACTGAAGCAGCAGTTTGACACTCCTTCACTCAAGTCTTCAATTAGCAATCAGTCTGCAAACCTTATATAAATGATGGAAGGTCTGTGTTGTTCTGTGCCAGCATGGATGGAGGAGGTCAATACAAGACTGTACGTTGGTTTAAATGTGTTTTCTTTCATATGTACAGTATTTTATTACTTTTGTCTGTTTTTACAGTATTTTAGTTTTCAGCCACAGTTTGAAAATTGTCATGAATTCAATATAAATTTAATCAAAGCATTTCTTATTCTAGATCCAATTCTTTGCAAAAAGGCAAATTTGACAGCCCAAATAGAAAGACAACAAATGGCATTGGCAATAGGCTACAATGACAAGCAATGATGGTGCACTGACTTCTGTATTTTGTTGTCCATTGTGTAATGATTAATTGAAAGAGCTCATATATCTGTTTGCAAGTTGTGTTGTTTGAAGGTAAAACTAGCTTTAGTTTCATATTTTAAATGTTTTGACACGATATGTGCCTTTTGCAAGCAAAATGTGTCATTTTGACCATGAGTGCTGCTGTTTAGGCCTGTGTGTTAACTGTTTTGAAAAGGTGGAGTTTCAGTTGACAACATCATCCA